TACAGACCCTGTATAAACTCTGTATATAGACCCTGTATAAACTCTGTATATAGACCCGGTATAAACTCTGTATACAGACCCTGTATAACCTCTGTAACAGACCCTGTATAAACTCTGTATATAGACCCTGTATAAACTCTGTATACAGACCCTGTATAACCTCTGTTACAGACCCTGTATAAACTCTGTTATAGACTCTGTATAAACTCTGTATACAGACCCTGTATAAACTCTGTATACAGACCCTGTAAAAACTCTGTATATAGACCCTGAATAAACTCTGTTACAGACCCTGTATAAACTCTGTATACAGACCCTGTATAAACTCTGTATACAGACCCAGTAAAAACTCTGTATATAGATCCTGAATAAACTCTGTTAGATACCCTGTATAAACTCTGTTAGATTCCCTGTATAAACTCTGTTAGATTCCCTGTATAAACTCTGTATATAGACCCTGTATAAACTCTGTATATAATGACCCTGTATAATCTCTGTATATAGACCATGTATAAACTATAGACCCTATACAGAGTTTATACAGCGTCTGTAACAGAGTTTATACAGGGTCTGTAAAAGAGTTTATACAGGGTCTGTAACAGAGTTTATATAGGGTCTGTAACAGAGTTTATACAGGGTCTATAACAGAGTTTATATAGGGTCTGTAACAGAGTTTATATAGGGTCTGTATAAACTCTGTATACAGACCCTTTATAAACTCTGTTACAGACCCTGTATAAACTCTGTATACAGACGCTGTATAAACTCTGTATACAGACGCTGTATAAACTCTGTATACAGACACTGTATAAACTCTGTTACAGACGCTGTATTTACTCTGTTACAGACCCTGTATAAACTCTGTTACAGACCCTGTATTATAAACTATCAAAATATTATGATAATGTCCAGTTAACACAGGTTGTACTGTACAAAAACAACATCCGAGATACACAGCAGATTTATCCAAACTGCACAGTGTTTTCTCCATACTATATAACCCCAGAAGTTATCCTGGTTATCCCTGAAATGGCTAGACAATGGACATTTGAACTTTTCCAATGTTTTGGCTTGAAAAATCCTACCATCTTTGAATATTATAAAAGCATATATCACCAAGGAGTATAACATGTAAATATTCTCCAGTCAGAAAGTGTTTGGATCTTTACCTCATTCTGTTGTAACAGAAGAGGAAATATGCATTGCCAGACCGGGGTTCGAACCAAGGACCCTCCAA